GGGTGGTTGTTGTTGGAGTGTGTGTGTATGTGGTGGTTGTTGTTGGGTGTGTGTGTGTGTGTAGGTTGATGGTGATGCATGTCCTTATGTGGTGGTGTGTGTGTGTATGTGGTGGTTGTTGTTGGAGTGTGTGTGTGTATGTGGGTGGTTGCTGTTGGAGTGTGTGTGTGGGTGGTTGTTGTTGGAGTGTTATGTATATGCTGGGTATTGTTAGGTGTGTGTGTATACTTTTCGTTTATTTGATGTGTGTGTTGTTGGTGTACTTGTATATGGGTGGTTGTTGTTTGATGTGTGTGTATGTAGGTAGTTGTTGTTGGAGTGTGTGTGTATGTGGGTGGTTGTTGGAGTGTGTGCTGTGTGGGTGGTTGTTGTTGGGTGTGTATATTGGGTGGTGTTTCAGTGTGTGTGTGTATGTGGGTGGTTGTTGTTGGAGTGTGTGTATGTGGAGTGATTTGTTGTTGGAGTGTGTGTGTGTGGGTGGTTGTTGCATTGGAGTGTGTGTGTATGTGGGTGGTTGTTGTTGGAGTGTGTGTGTGTGTGTATGTGGGTGGTTGTTGGTGTATTGACTGTAGCTATGGTGTAGTTGTTGTTCAGGTGTTATTAACCTTTATGCAGTGAAATTTGCTGTTTGAATTATTATTGTGTATATGTAGAATTGGTTGTTGTTCAATTATTAGCATATGTGGGTGGTTTGTTTGTTGGAGTAATAGTAATGTATATAGGTGGATTTGTTGTTGATGTGTGTGTATATGTGGGTGGTTGTTGTTAGGAGTGTGTGTGTATGTGGGTGAATTTTGTTGTTGGAGTGTGTGTGTATATGTGGGTGATTGTTGTTAGAGAAATATTATTGTGTGTGTGTAGGTGGTTAATTGTTGAAATATGTGTGTATGTGGATATAGATTTTGTTGTTGGGTGTGTGTGTATGTGGTGGTTGTTGTTGGAGTGTGTTGTATGTGGAGTTGTTGTTGTTGGAGTGTATGTATGTGGGTGGTTGTTGTTGGTGTGTGTGCTTGTATGGGTGCAGTTGTTGTTGGGTGTATTATTTTATGTGGTGGTTGTTGTTGGAGTGTGTGTATACTGTGGGTTGTTGTTGTTGGAGTATTATTGTGTATGTGGGTTGTTTATTTAAGGTGTGACTGTGTGTATGTGGGTGGTTGTTGTTGGAGTGTGTGTGTATGTGGGTGTTTCATTGTTGCAGTGTGTGTGTGTGTGTATGTGGTTGTTGTTGGGGTAATGTATGTGTGGGTAGTTGTTGTTGGTGTGTGTGTGTGTATGTGGTGGTTCATTGGGGTATGTGTATATGTGCGTTGGTTGTTGGGGTGTGTGTGTGTATGTGGGTGGTGGTTGTTGGTGTGTGTGTGTGTATGGGTGGTTGTTGTTTGGAATGTATTTGTATGTGATTAGTTGTTGTTTGAATATGTGTGTATGTGGGTGGTTATTTTGTTGGGAGTGTATTTGTGTGTATGGGGTGGATTTGTTGTTCAGGTCGTGTGTGTATGTGGTGGTTATTTGGAGTGTTAATGTGTATGTACGTTGGTTGGTGTTGTTGGAGTGTGTATTATGTCTCGGGTGGTTGTTGTTGGAGTGTGTGTGTATGTGGGGTGTTCATTGTTGAGTGTGTGTGTGTATGTGGGTGGTTGTTGTTGGAGTGTGTGTATGTGGGTGGGTTGTTGAATGTGTGTGTGTATGTGGGTGGTTGTTGTTAGAGCCATGTGTGTGTGTGTGGGTGGTTGTTGTTGGGAGTGTGTATTGACACTTTCATGGTGGCTACATTGGGAATATGTGTGTGTATGTGGGTGGTTGTTATTGGGTGTGTGTATGTAGGTGGTTGTTGTTGGAGTGTAATGTATGTAATTAGTTGTTGTTGGGTGTGTATATGGTGTTGTTTGGGCCATGTGTGTAAATTGGTGTTGGAATGTGTGTGTATGTGGTGGTTGTTGTTGTGATGTGCATGTGTGTATGTGGGTGGTTGTTGTTGGAGGGTGTGTGTATGTGGTGATTGTTGTTGGAATATGTGTATGTGGTGGTTATTTGTTTGGAATGTGTAATATATATGGGTGGTTGTTGTTGGAATGTGTGTGTGTGTATGTGGGTGGTTATTTGTTGGGTGTACGTGTGTATGTGGTGGTTGATGTTGACGGAGGGTGTGTGTATGTGGGTGGTTGTTTGTTTGAATGTGTGTGTATGTGGGTGGTTGTTGTTGGAATATTATTAGTATATCATGGGTGGTTGTTCTTGGAATCCATGGCTGTGGTGTGGAGTGGTTGTTGTTGGAGTGTACGTATATGTGGGTGGTTGTTGTTGGAATGTAGGGTGGTTGTATTTAGAGTGTGTGTATATGGGTAGTAGTTGTTGGAATAATGTATATATATGGTGGTTGTTCTATTTAGATGTATATGTGGTGGTCTATTGAGTATGTTTATGTAGGTGGTTGTTGTTGGAGTGTGTGTGTGTATGTGTATGTGTGGTTGTGTGTGTATGTATGATTGGTTGTTGGGTAATGACATGTATGTGGGTGGTTGTTGTTAAGTGTGTATGTATGTGGGTGGTTGTTGTTGGAGTGTGTTAATAATGTATGTAGGGGTGGTTGTTACATTGGAGTGTGTGTGTGCTGTGGGTGGTTGTTGTTGGAGTGTTGTGTGTATGGGTAAAGTTGTTGTTGGAGTGTGTGTGTATGTGGGTGGTTGTTGTTGGGTGTGTGTGTGTATGGGTGGTTGTTGTTAGAGTGTGTGTATGTGGTGGTTATTTTATTGTAGAGTGTGTATTATGCATACTGGGTGGTTGTTGTTGTTGGAGTGTGTATTAGCATAGGTGGTTGTTGTTGGAGTGTGTGTGTATGTGGGTAGTTGTTGTTTGGAGTGTGTGTGTATGGAGTGTGTTGTTGGGTGTATGTGTGCTCATGGGTGGTTGTTGTGGGTGTGTGTGTCATGTGGGTGGTTGTTGTTGGAGTGTGTGTGTATGTGGGTGGTTGTTGTTGAGTGTGTGTGTATGTGGGTGGTTGTTGTTGGAGTGTGTGTGTATGTGGGTGGTTGTTGTTTGGGTGTATTATTATTATGTGGGTGGTTGTTGTTGGAGTGTGTGTGCCATGTGGGTGGTTGTTGTTGGAGTGTGTGTGTGTATGTGGTGGTTATTTGTTTGGAGTGTGTGTATGTGAGTGGTTTGTTGTTGGAGTGTGTGTGTATGTGGGTGGTTGTTGTTGAATTATTATTGACATGTATGGGTGGTTGTTATTTGGAATATTGTGTGCTGTGGTGGTATTTGTTGGAGTGTGTGTGTATATATGAGTTGTTGTTGATCGTAATAATATCTTAAATTGATTGTTGTTGGAAATACTATTCTCTGTGGGTGTTGTTGTTGGAGTGTGTGTGTATGGGTGGTTGTTGTTGATGTGTGTATGGATGATTGTTGGAATGTGTGTGTATGTGGGTGGTTGTTGTTGGGAGTGTGTGTGTATATGGGTGGTTGTTGTTGAAATGTGTGTGTATATGGGTTGTTGTTGGAATGTGTTTGTATGTGGTGGTTGTTGTTGGAGTGTGTGTGTATGTGGGTGGTTGTTGTTGAAATGTGTGTGTATGTGGATGGTTGTTGTTGGAA